ATGACTGACTCGAGTGAGGTTTACACCACTTTAGCAATATTCCAACAATACCACGGCGGGGACGGGGATAAGCTCACACATTATACCCATGTGGGGAATCGAAAACCAGTCATCGGCGTGACGGGCAAACCTTTACAACCAGGGCTATCCCAGCGCTTGCATATCCAGATGACAGGTGTTGCCAGTGTGGAGATGTGCATCTAGATGATGCTGCTGGTTGTGTTGACGTGGCAATCTAGATGACAGCTTTTTGTTGGTTGTGTGGACGTATATCCGGATGGCAGATGTTGTTGGTTGTGTGGATGTGTGCATCTAGATGAAAGCCGTTGTTGGTTGTGTAGACGTGTATATCTAGTTGACACCCGTTGGTTGTGGATGTGCGCATCTATAGATAAGTGTTTTTTGGTTGTGGACTTGTATATCTAGACGACAGCTGTTGATGTGTGCATGTGTGCATCTATAGACAACTGATGTTGGTTTGTGTGGATGTGTATATCTAGATGACAGCTGTTTTTGGTTGTGTGGACTTGTATATATCTAGACGATAGTTGTTGGCTGTGTGGATGTGAGCATCTATAGATAAGTGTTGTTGGTTGTGTCGATGTGTATATCTAGACGACAGCCGTTGGTTGTGTGGATGTATCTGCATCTGGACGATAGCTGTTGTTAGTTGTGTCGATGTATGCATCTACAGATAACGCTATTGTTGGTTGTGTGGACGTATACGTATCTAGATGACAGCTGTGTGTTGTGTGATGTGTGCATCTATAGATAGCTTTAGTTGGTTCTGTGGATGCACATATCTAGATATAGCTGTTGTTTGTTGTGAGGATGTGCATATCTAGATGACAGCCGCTGGTTGTGTGGATGTGTATATCTAGATGACAGCTATTGGTTTTGTCGATATGTGCATCTATAGATAACCATTGTTGGTTGTGTGGATGTGCGCATCAAGATGACAGCCTGTTGTTTGTGTGGATGTGTGCATCTATAGATAACTCTTTATTGTTGAGTGGACGTGTATATCTAGATTACAGCTGTTGGTTGTGTGGACGTGTATATCTATATGGCAGCTGCTGGTTGTGTGGACGTGTATATCTAGATGACAGCTGTTGGCTGTGTGGATGTGTGCATCTATAGATAAGTGTTGTTGGTTGTGTGGATGTGTATATCTAGACTACAACTGTTGGTTTTGTGGATGTGTGCATCTAGAAGATAGCTGTTGTTGGTTGTGTGGATGTGTGCATCTACAGATAACTATTGTTGGTTGTGTGGATGTGTGCATCAAGGTGACAGCTGTTGTTTGTGAGGATGTGCATCTATAGATCACTCTTATTGTTGAGTGGACGTGTATATCTAGATTACAGCTGCTGGTTGTGTGGACGTGTATATGTAGATGACAGCTGTTGGTTGTGTGGATGTGTGCATCTATAGATAAGTGTTGTTGGTTGTGTGAACGTGTATATCTAGACGACAGTTGTTGGTTGTGTGGACGCGTATATCTAGATGTCAGCTGTTGGTTGTGTGGATGTGTGCATCTATAGATAACTGTTTTGTTGTGTGGATGCGCTTATCTATCTAGATGGCAGCTGCGTGTTGTGTGGATGTGTGCATCTATAGATAAGTGTTGTTGGTTGTGTAGACGTGTATATCTAGATAACAGCTGTTGCTGGCTGTGTGGATGTGTATATCTAGATGACAGCTGGGTTGCTGGTTGTGTGGATGTGTATATCTAGATGACAGCTGTGTGTGTTGTGTGGATGTGTGCATCTGTAGATAACTGTTGTTGGTTGTGTGGACGCGCATATCTAGATGACAGCTGTTGTTTATTATGTGGATGTGTGCATCTAGATGACAGCTGTTGTTGGTTGTGTAGACGTGTATATCTAGATGACAGCTGTTGGTTGTTGTGAGGATGTGTATATCTAGGTAACAGCTGTGTGGTGTGTGGATGTGTGCATCTATAGATAACTGTTGTTGGTTGTGTAGACGTGCATATCTAGATGACAGCTGTTGCAAATTGTTTGTTGCGAGGATGTGTATATCTAGGTGACAGCTGTGTGGTGTGTGGATGTTTGCATCTATAGATAACTGTTGGCTGTGTTGTGTATTGCTGTGTAGACGTGTATATCTAGATGACAGCTGTTGTTGGTTGTTGTGTGGATGTGTGCATCTAGATGACAGCTGTTGTTGGCTGTGTGGATGTGTATACCTAGATGACAGCTGCTGTTTGTTGGCTGTGTGGATCTGTATATCTAGATGACAGCCGTTGTTGGTTGTGTGAGCTGTTGTGCATGTGTATATCCTAGATGACAGCTGTTGTTGGTCACTTGTGTGGACTTGTATATCTAGATGACAGCTGTTGTTGGTTGTGTGAATGTGTATATCTAGATGACAGCTGACAGCTTGTTGTATATCTGCTGTGGATGTGTATATCTAGATGACAACTGTTGTTGGTTCTGTGGATGTGTATATCTAGATGACAGCTGCTGTTGGCTGTGTGGATGCGTATATCTAGATGACAGCTGCTGTTGGTTGTAGTGGATGTTGTATATCTAGATGACAGCTGCTGTTGGCTGTGTGGATGTGTATATCTAGATGACAGCTGTTGTTGGTCCTTGTGGATGTGTATATCTAGATGACAGCCGTTGTTACGTGCGTGGATGTGTATATCTAGATGACAGCCTGTTGTTGGCTGTGTGGATGTGTATATCTAGATGACAGCTGTTGTTGGTTGTGTGGATGCTAGATGCATATCTAAATGACAGCCAAGTTGTTGGTTGTGTGGATGTGTATATCTAGATGACAACTGTTGTTGGCTGTGTGGATGTGTATATCTAGATGACAGCTGTTGTTGATTGTGTGGATGTGTATATCTAGATGACAGCTGTTGTTGGTTGTGTGGATGTGTATATCCTAGATGACAGCTGCTGTTGGCTGTGTGGATGTGTGCATCTAGATGACAGCTGTTGTGGTTGTGTGGATGTGCTGATGGTTGTGTGGATGTGTATATCTAGATGACAGCTGTTGTTGGCTGTGTGGATGCTGTTGTTGGCAGCATATCTAGATGACAGCTGTTGTTGGTTGCTGTGGATGTGTATATCTAGATGACAGCTGTTGTTGGCTGTGTGCATGTGTGCATCTAGATGACAGCTGTTGCTGTTGTTGGTTGTGTGGATGTGTATATCTATCTGATGACAGCTGTTGCTGGCCGTGTGGATGTGTATATCTAGATGACAGCTGTTGTTGGCTGGTGTGGATGTGTGGATGTGTATATCTAGATGACAGCTGTTGTTGGTTGTGCTGTTGTTTTGTTATGTGGATGTGTGCATCTAGATGACAGCTGTTGTTGGTTGTGTGGATGTGTATATCTAGATGACAGCTGTTGTTGGCTGTGTGGATGTGTATATCTAGGGATGACAGCTGTTGTTGGTTCTGTGTGGATGTGTATATCTAGATGACAGCTGTTGTTGTTGGCTGTGTGGATGTATATATCTAGACTGTTGGTTGTGTGGATGTGTATATGTAGATGACAGCCAAGCTGTTGGATTGTGTGGATGTGTGCATATTCTAGATGACAGCTGTTGTTGGCTGTGTGGATGTGTATATCTAGATGACAGCTGTTGTTGGCTGTGTGGATGTGTATATCTAGATGACAGCTGTTGTTGGTTGTGTGGATGTGTATATCTAGATGACAGCTGTTGTTGGCTGTGTGGATGTATATCTAGATGACAGCTGTTGTTGGCTAGACGACAGCTGTGTAGACGTGTATATCCTAGATGACAGCTGTTGTTGGCTGTGTGGATGTGTATATCTAGATGACAGCTGTTGTTGGCTGTGTGGATGTGTATATCTAGATGACAGCTGTTGTTGGTTGTGTGGATGTGTATATCTAGATCTAGATGACAGCTGTTGTTGGTTGTGTGGATGTGTATCTAGATGACAGCTGTTGTTGGTTGTGTGTGGATGTGTATATCTAGATGACAGCTGTTGTTGGTTGTGTGGATGTGTATATCTAGATGACAGCTGTTGTTGGTTGTGTGGATGTGTATATCTAGGTGACAGCTGTTGTTGGACATATCCAGATTGGATGTGCTGTTGGTTGGCTGTGGATGTGTATATCTAGATGACAGCTGTTGTAGACACAGCTGCTGTGTGGATGTGTGGATGTGTATGACATAGATGACAGCTGTTGTTGGCTGTGTGGATGTGTATATCTAGATGACAACTGTTGTTGGTTGTGTGGATGTGTATATCTAGATGACAGCTGTTGTTGGGTTGTGTGGATGTATATCTAGATGGCAGCTGTTGTTGGATGTGTATATCTAGATGGCAACTGTTGTTGGCTGTGAATATGTGTATATCTCTAGATGACAGCTGTTGTTGGCTGTGTGGATGTGTATATCTAGATGTCATCTGTTGTTGGTTGTGTGAATGTGTGCATCTATAGATAACTGTTGTTGGTTGTGTTGACGTGTATATCTAGATGACAGCTGTTGTTGGTTGTCCGGACGTGCATATCTAGATGACAGCTGTTGTTTGTTGTGAGGATGAGTGCATCTATAGATAACTGTTGTTGGTTGTGTGGACGTGTATATCTAGATGACAGCTGTTGTTGGTTTTCCGGACGTGTATATCTAGATGACAGCTGTTGTTGGTTGTCCGGACGTGTATATCTAGATGACAGCTGTTGTTTGTTGTGAGGATGTGTATATCTAGGTGACACCTGTTGGTTGTGTGGATGTGTGCATCTATCTATAACTGTTGTTGGTTGTTTGGACGTGTATATCTAGATGACAGCTGTTGGTTGTATGAATTTGATGACTATTGGTTGTTGTGTGAATATGTATCGTCCGAGGGTATACTGGCATAATGTCTAGATGGCTGTACTTCCGGGTTAGGGTTAACAGTAGGCGATGTGTTACTGGGATACTGTCTGTAAGGCCGGTTCACACACTGATGAGTCGCACGAGCTAGATTGTCATGAATCAAGTCGAAAACAATGCTGAGAAACGTTTATTTGCCGTAGATCAATCTGTCCACAATAAAATACTAATGCGATCAAATAAGAGGCGATGTACAGAAGCAAGAAAAGAGAAGGAATGGGGAAGGTGTCCCCGGTAGCGTCAGCAGCTTACTAGGCACTTCAACGTTCAGTATTTCATCGCCAGTGTCCCTATGTGATCAGTGATATGTGTACACAATGACAGAACAATCCAAACTAGTCTCGGGAAGAAGAGCTGTTTCAATCGTATATCTTCATCACAGAAATGATTGTCAGTGGCATGGGTGACAGGAAGCTCTAGAGAAGAAAAGGGTGTAGGATGGGGTGAGAAGAGTGGTCCACTGTCGGGGATAGCAGGTGCAGGTGACAGGAAGCTCTAGAGAAGAAAAGGGTGTAGGATTGGGTGAGAAGAGTGGTCCACTGTCGGGGATAGCAGGTGCAGGTGACAGGAAACTCTAGAGAAGAAAAGGGTGTAGGATTGGGTGAGAAGAGTGGTCTACTGTCGGGGATAGCAGGTGCAGGTGACAGGAAGCTCTAGAGAAGAAAAGTGTGTAGAACGACGTGAGAGGGGTGGTCCACTGTTAAATTATAGCGAAATTCTGTCGCTTTGGTGTTGGATTGAGTCATTTCCGATTATTTCTTTTGAGGGAAATTAATTAGGGGAGAATTTGACTCAAACGGACTGTAGTAGGTACAGCAAGTTACATGAAGCAGTAGAGGTGTCCAGGTGTGTGGGGACCGTGCCGTGTGATGATAGGAAGCAGTAGAGGTGTCCAGGTGTGTAGGGACCGTGCCGTGTGATGATAGGAAGCAGTAGAGGTGTCCAGGTGTGTGGGGACCGTGCCGTGTGATGATAGGAAGTACACATACAGAGAACATGACGGAAAGACATCGGTGGGCGAGAGATGCATCACACAGGAAGTACGCATATCATGGAAACTAGTGCAAGAGACAGATTGGCGAGAGATGCATCACACAGGAAGTATACAGAGGACACGAGGGCAAGAGACAGATTGGCGAGAGATGCATCACACAGGAAGTATACAGAGGACACGAGGGCAAGAGACAGATTGGCTAGAGATGCATCACACAGGAAGTACACAGAGGACACGAGGGCAAGAGACAGATTGGCTAGAGATACATCACACAGGAAGTATACAGAGGACACGAGGGCAAGAGACAGATTGGCTAGATATGCATCACACAGGAAGTATACAGAGGACACGAGGCAAGAGACAGATTGGCTAGAGATGCATCACACAGGAAGTATACAGAGGACACGAGGCAAGAGACAGATTGGCTAGAGATGCATCACACAGGAAGTATACAGAGGACACGAGGCAAGAGACAGATTGGCTAGAGATGCATCACACAGGAAGTATACAGAGGACACGAGGCAAGAGACAGATTGGCTAGAGATGCAGGGACACACAAGAGACAGGAAGTATCACACAGGAAGTATACACAGAGGACACGAGGCAGGAGACAGATTGGCTAGAGATGCATCACACAGCATGAAAATACACATAAGATACTACAACAAGACAGAATTATGTATACAGTTGACACCGAGTTGAGATACATGGTTGGTGATGTCCAATACGTTTAAGACGTCACAGGCTGGGGACTTCTGTGGTTCCGACAAGGGGAGTACTGACGCTACCCTCCCTGACAAGGGCAGAGGCGTTGCGGAAGAGATGAGGATTGCACCCAACGTACATCACAAACTGAAATGAAAAAGGTCACAGTGTATACGCGCCGCCACAGCTCCCACTCATACCTATATAACGTGTGGACGTATTCAGAGACAGCATCAGCTCTCAGCACAATTCTGTTACCACCAGGACACCCACCACCCTTCTGTTACCACCAGGACACCCACCACCCTTCTGTCATCTCCAGGACACACATTGCCCTTCTGTCATCACCAGGACATCCAATACCCTTCTGTTACCACCAGGACACCCACCACCCTTCTGTCATCTCCAGGACACCATCACCCTTCTGTCGTCACCAGGACACCCAACACCCTTCCGTTACCACCAGGACACCCACCACCCTTCTGTTACCACCAGGACACCCACCACCCTTCTGTCATTACCAGGACACCCACCACCCTTCTGTCATCTCCAGGACACCCATCACCCTTCTGTCATCACCAGGACATCCAACACCCTTCTGTTACCACCAGGACACCCACCACCCTTCTGTCATTACCAGGACATCCACCACCCTTCTGTCATCTCCAGGACACCATCACCCTTCTGTCATCACCAGGACACCCACCACCCTTCTGTCACCACCAGGACACCAACCACCCTTCTGTTACCACCAGGACACCCACATCCCTTCTGTTACCACCGGGACACCCACCACCTTTCTGTTACCACCAGGACACCAACCACCTTTCTGTTACCACCAGGACACCCACCACCCTTCTGTTACCACCAGGACACCCACCACCCTTCTGTTACCATTAGACACTCAGCACCCTCCTGATACCATCGGGACACCCACCACCCTTCTGTTACCACTAGGAAACCCACCACCCTTCCGTTACCACCAGGACACCCACCACCCTTCTGTAATCTCCAGGACACCCATCACCCTTCTGTTACCACCAGGACACCCACCACCCTTCCGTTACCACCAGGACATCCACCACCCTTCTGTCATCTCCAGGACACCCATCACCCTTCTGTTACCACCAGGACACCCACCACCCTTCTGTTACCACCAGGACACCCACCACCTTTCTGTCATCACCAGGACACCCACCACCCTTCTGTTACCACCAGGACACCCACCACCCTTCTGTTGCCATCAGGACACCCACCACCCTTCTGTTACCACATGACACCCACCACCCTTCTGTTACCACCAGGACACCCACCACCCTTCTGTTACCATTAGACACTCAGCACCCTTCTGCTACCACCGTGAAACCCAACACCCTTCTGTTATCACCAGGACACCCACCACCCTTCTGTCACCACCAGGACACCCACCACCCTTCTGTCATCACCAGGACACCCACCACCCTTCTGTCATCTCCAGGACACCCAACACCCTTCTGTTATCACCAGGACACCCACCACCCTTCTGTTACCACTAGGACACCCACCACCCTTCTGTCATTACCAGGACACCCACCACCCTCCTGTCATCTCCAGGACACCCATCACCCTTCTGTTACCACTAGGACACCCAGCTGTCGTCTCTTACCTGGACAATTTTCCCGTAGAAGTTGGGGTGATCCAGGCCTTTTCCGATACTCAACGGGCATTTTGTTGGGGATATCTTGCCTGAGTGAAATAAACCAGAATTTATACTGTTGAATTACGACCTGGAAATGCTGCAATATCAATCCGACTTATTTCAATCAACTCCAAACATGTTTCAAGAGAATCGTGTTCCATCATATCAGTCTCAGTATCTAAACAACCGGGCATAACAAAGATATCATTTTTAAAGTAATTGTAGAACAAAAAACAACGCTGGTACAGGTTTCAACTCAAGCAGAAAACATTCGCCAAAACGCAACACGGTAACGGTAACAACGAAGCTGTCCGATCACTTGTTGAGAATTGTACAGTTATCAACAAGACAAAGATGTAATTGCTGGGCAGTGGTCCAAATGCCCGTGTGAGGATGTGGCATAAATACTGATGTAGGCAGAGCAAACACACAGTAGCCACAGAAACCACTCCGAACACTTACCCAAGACAGGGCGATCGGTATGGCCAACATTGGGGCTTCACAATGTCAGCTGACAAGATCCTTCAAGAACCACCATCAGCAAATTGATAAGCCGCTACCAGCAAGCAGGCCAGAGCCAAGAAAGCCCAAGATCAGGAAGACCAAGAGTCACAACACCTGCCGAAGACCACTACATCCGACAGCTCCGGACGTCAACGGCGGCGACAGCACTAGGACACTTCATCAGAAGACGAAAAGTCCTTCGACGACTTGGTATGGTCGGTATAAGTGCCTACCACCCCTTCCGTGGAAAGGCCTTGACCCGTCTACACCGTCAACGCAGACTGCTATGGGCACGAAAGGTACATTGTTCGCAGCGAGGTGATAAAAGTCGGTTCAGTCGGTTCAGAAACGATGGCAGAGTTCGAGTTTTTCTACGTTGAGGAGAGCGACTGGTGCCAAACTGCGTTCAAGAAGTTCATTCGTTCGATGTAGGAGACGCATTTGTGGCCAGTGAACAGGAAGTTTGGTTATCCTCCCAGGAAATCTGAATGGTCAGCGATGCAGGGACGAAGAGTTCAGAACTTTTGTTGTGCCCTTTATTCGACAACAGCCACGGGGGAGTCATTTTGCAGCACGACAACGGAATGACTCATATCGCTAGAATTGTTCGAGAATACCTGCACAACGTTTACGCCAATATGTTGCCTTGGTCATCGCGTTCTCCAGACTTGAACCCCATTGAACATCTCTGGGATCATCCTGATCGTCAGTTGAGACAGCGTGTACCACCTCCAGCAAACCGACTGGAATTTGAACAGACTCTCTAGGTTCCTGCTGACGTCATCCGCTGATGACGACAATGTGGATATTGTGTTGACGTGTACAGATCCCCAGTAGGGTCACACCCGCAAGAACAGAATTACAATTAATGTTCAGTCGAATTATTGGAAAATGATTTCTGTTTGTAAACTAGTTATTATATATATCACATACGCGTGTGTTTTTAGTTTCTGTCAAGTGAAGTCGGTGATACATTTCTTTTGCCCGGTAGTTGACGAACTTCATCACGTATATGAGGTGAGGTGAGAATTGGATTTAACGTCGCGCTTGAGAATATTTCGCTCATATGACGACGTGCATGCGAATGTGTGTGTATGTGCGGCTGCTTGTACTAGCCCAGACTTAAGCTGGTTTTATAGTGCTAGCCCACTGAGATACCATGCCGCAGCGAAGCATGAATACCCCACTCAGACACAGTATACTGACTCCGAGCCGACCAGTCCTTGTTGTACCCATTAAGGCCGAGCGCCAGGCAGGGACCAACAAGTACCATATTTTAACGTTTTTGGTATGACGCGGTCGGGGTTTGAACCCGCGACCTTCCGCTCTCTGGGCGGACGCTCTAACCACTACACCACGGAGGCGGTCATCACGTATATGATCATTATGTAAGACGGCAAGCGGGTATTGATGCTCAAAACGGGGCAGGGGCTGACGCCTTCTTTACAGTAACCATTATTGACTGTCATACATCAGGATGTTTGTTCCTCCTGTTAGCGTGACCGTATTTGGGACTTTTCGTTCAGTAATAATGTATTTGGGACTTACCATAGAAGTCACTCGTTCAGTAACAATGTATTTTGGACTTACCATAGAAGTCCTTCGTTCAGTAATAATGTCTTTGGGACTTACCATAGAAGTCCTTCGTTCAGTAATCATGTATTTGGGACTTACCAAAGAAGTCCTTCGTTCGGTAATAATGTATTTGGGACTTACCATAGAAGTCCTTCGTTCAGTAACTATGAATTTGGGACTTACCATAGAAGTCCTTCGTTCAGTAACAATGTATTTGGGACTTACCATAGAAGTCCTTCATTCAGTAATAATGTATTTGGGACTTACCATAGAAGTCCTTCATTCAGTAACAATGTATTTGGTACTTACCATAGAAGTCCTTCGTTCAGTAATAATGTATTTGGGACTTACCATAGAAGTCCTTCATTCAGTAACAATGTATTTGGGACTTACCATAGAAGTCCTTCATTCAGTAACAATGTATTTGGGACTTACCAAAGAAGTCCTTCGTTCAGTAACAATGTATTTGGTACTTACCATAGAAGTCCTTCGTTCAGTAACAATGTATTTGGGACTTACCATAGAAGTCCTTCATTCAGTAACAATGTATTTGGTACTTACCATAGAAGTCCTTCGTTCAGTAACTATGAATTTGGGACTTACCATAGAACTCCTTCGTTCAGTAACAATGTATTTGGGACTTACCATAGAAGTCCTTCATTCAGTAACAATGTATTTGGGACTTACCATAGAAGTCCTTCATTCAGTAATAATGTATTTGGGACTTACCATAGAAGTCCTTCATTCAGTAACAATGTATTTGGTACTTACCATAGAAGTCCTTCGTTCAGTAATAATGTATTTGGGACTTACCATAGAAGTCCTTCATTCAGTAACAATGTATTTGGGACTTACCATAGAAGTCCTTCATTCAGTAACAATGTATTTGGGACTTACCAAAGAAGTCCTTCGTTCAGTAACAATGTATTTGGTACTTACCATAGAAGTCCTTCGTTCAGTAACAATGTATTTGGGACTTACCATAGAAGTCCTTCGTTCAGTAACAATGTATTTGGTACTTACCATAGAAGTCCTTCGTTCAGTAACAATGTATTTGGTACTTACCATAGAAGTCCTTCGTTCAGTAACAATGTATTTGGGACTTACCATAGAAGTCCTTCGTTCAGTAACAATGTATTTGGGACTTACCATAGAAGTCCTTCGTTCAGTAACAATGTATTTGGGACTTACCAAAGAAGTCCTTCGTTCAGTAACAATGTATTTGGTACTTACCATAGAAGTCCTTCGTTCAGTAACTATGAATTTGGGACTTACCATAGAAATCCTTCGTTCAGTAACAATGTATTTGGGACTTACCATAGAAGTCCTTCATTCAGTAATAATGTATTTGGGACTTACCATAGAAGTCCTTCATTCAGTAACAATGTATTTGGTACTTACCATAGAAGTCCTTCGTTCAGTAATAATGTATTTGGGACTTACAATAGAAGTCCTTCATTCAGTAACAATGTATTTGGTACTTACCATAGAAGTCCTTCATTCAGTAACAATGTATTTGGGACTTACCAAAGAAGTCCTTCATTCAGTAACAATGTATTTGGGACTTACCATAGAAGTCCTTCGTTCAGTAACAATGTATTTGGGACTTACCATAGAAGTCCTTCGTTCAGTAACAATGTATTTGGGATTTACCATAGAAGTCCTTCGTTCAGTAACAATGTATTTGGTACTTACCATAGAAGTCCTTCGTTCAGTAACAATGTATTTGGGACTTACCAAAGAAGTCCTTCGTTCAGTAATAATGTATTTGGGACTTACCATAGAAGTCCTTCGTTCAGTAACAATGTATTTGGGACTTACCATAGAAGTCCAGCACCTTGTAGTCCGATCCAGTGACGCCAATCATTTTACCATTATGGATTTTCAACATGGCAAAGCTCCAACCTGTTGCTGCCTGTAATGCCACGTGAAAGTACAAAGTCCGATTACAGGGAGATAGAAAGATGTATGTAAATGCAAGGTCTGATTACAGAGAGACAGAAAGAGGTATGTAAATACAAGGTCTGATTACAGAGAGACAGAAAGATTTAAGTAAATACAGGGTCTGATTACAGAAAGACAGAAAGATGTATGTAAATACAGGGTCTGATTACAGAAAGACAGAAAGATGTATGTAAATACAGGGTCTGATTACAGAGGGACATGAAGATGTATGTAAATACAGGGTCTGATTACAGAGAGACAGAAAGATGTATGTAAATACAGGGTCTGATTACAGAGAGACAGAAAGATGTATGTAAATACAGGGTCTGATTACAGAGGGGCATGAAGATGTATGTAAATACAGGGTCTGATAACAGAGAGACAGAAAGATGTATGTAAATACAGGGTCTGATTACAGAGGGACATGAAGATGTATGTAAATACAGGGTCTGATTACAGAGAGACAGAAACACGATGTATGTAAATACAGGGTCTGATTACAGAGAGACAGAAAGACGTATGTAAATACAGGGTCTGATTACAGAGAGACAGAAAGACGTATGTAAATACAGGGTCTGATTACAGAGAGACAGAAAGATGTATGTAAATACAGGGTCTGATTACAGAGAGACAGAAACACGATGTATGAATACAGGGTCTGATTACAGAGAGACAGAAAGATGTATGTAAATACAGGGTCTGATTACAGAGAGACAGAAACACGATGTATGTAAATACAGGGTCTGATTACAGAGAGACAGAAACACGATGTATGTAAATACAGGGTCTGATTACAGAGAGACAGAAAGATGTATGTAAATACAGGGTCTGATTACAGAGGGACATGAAGATGTATGTAAATACAGGGTCTGATTACAGAGAGACAGAAAGATGTATGTAAATACAGGGTCTGATTACAGAGAGACAGAAACACGATGTATGTAAATACAGGGTCTGATTACAGAGAGACAGAAAGATGTATGTAAATACAGGGTCTGATTACAGAGAGACAGAAACACGATGTATGTAAATACAGGGTCTGATTACAGAGAGACAGAAACACGATGTATGTAAATACAGGGTCTGATTACAGAAAGACAGAAAGATGTATGTAAATACAGGGTCTGATTACAGAGGGACATGAAGATGTATGTAAATACACGGTCTGATTACAGAGGGACATGAAGTCTGATTACAGATGTATGTAACTACAGGGTCTGATTACAGAGAGACAGAAAGATGTATGTAACTACAGGGTCTGATTACAGAGAGACAGAAAGATGTATGTAAATACACGGTCTGATTACAGAGAGACAGAAAGATGTATGTAAATACAGGGTCTGATTACAGAGGGACAGGAAGATTTAAGTAAATACAGCGTGTGATTGTAAAGTGACAGGGATTGGTATCACGTGGGTTCGCAGTATCAGAGTTTGAAGAAACGAGGAGATAAGGGTCAGAACACAGACAGAAGTGGACACAGATTACACTGAAAAGAAAAACATAGCATCACGACAGTGAGAGCCACAACGAATGTCGTAAACCGTGCTTGATAACACAATGAAGGTGGAACGGAATGGTGTCAGAGGAAGACACACCTGTGTCAGGTTAGTCAGAGGAAGCTTAAGACAAACCTCTGTCAGGTTAGTCAGAGGAAGCCACACCTGTATCAGGTTAGTCAGAGGAAGACACACCTGTGTCAGGTTAGTCAGAGGAAGCCACACCTGTGTCAGGTTAGTCAGAGGAAGCCACGCCTGTGTAGGTTAGTCAGAGGAAGACACACCTGTGTCAGGTTAGTCAGAGGAAGACACACCTGTGTCAGGTTAGTCAGAGGAAGCCACACCTGTGTCAGGTTAGTCAGAGGAAGCCACACCTGTGTCAGGTTAGTCAGAGGAAGCCACGCCTGTGTAGGTTAGTCAGAGGAAGACACACCTGTGTCAGGTTAGTCAGAGGAAGCCACACCTGTGTCAGGTTAGTCAAAAAGATCAGTTGAAGAAGTAAGGGAATAAAGAGGGGGACTTCACATGGAAAGGGACACCTTTTTTGTTTCGATCGCCTGACCTACTTACCGGACATGGAACACACATCACAACTTTTTGTCCGTAATGGTTTGTGACATGGAAACAGACTCCGTCGAAGACCACGATGATGTAGATGGTGGCTTCTTCACCATCGCACAATGAGTTGCTCACAACGACGCGGGTGGTGTTGTCAACGCGGAAGTAGTAAAAGGATATGGTCAGCTCATCACCATAGTAACCGTTTCTGAAGTAAGGGACGCTGAGAGAGCTACTGCCGTCCCACACTGCTGCAGGGATGTCGTAGTGGATGTACACGCCGTGGTTGTCCACGTGGTGGTTGTGAGCGACGTCTTTGGTGTTGTAGAACAGAGGTAGATACAGAACAGGCGTACAACCTACAACAGCATCAGGCACATCTTGACACAGAACAGGTGTACAACCTACAACAGCATCAGGCACATCTTGACATAGAACAGGTGTACAACCTACAACAGCATCAAGCACATCTTGACACAGAACAGGCGTACAACCTACAACAGCATCAAGCACATTTTGACACAGAACAGGCGTACAACCTACAACAGCATCAGGCACATTTTGACATAGATCAGGCGTACAACATATATCAGCATCAAGCACATCTTGACACAAAACAGGCTTACAACCAACACTTTCCTGGAATGCTGAACACTATCTAACACCTCCCTGGAATGTAGGACACTATCTAAAACCTGCCTTGAATGTAAGACACTATCTAACACCTACCTTGATTGATGGACACTACCTAACACATGGATTGAATGTAAATAAGTATCTAACACCTGGATGGAATGTAAGACACTATCTAACACCTGCCTGGAATGCTGAACACTATCTAACATTTCCCTGGAATGTAGGACACTATCTAACACCTGCCTGGAATGTAAGAAACTATCTAACACCTAGATGGAATGTAATACACTATCTAACACCTGCCTGGAATGCAGGTCATTATCTAACACCCGTCTGGAAAAAGGACACTATCTAACACCTGCCTGGAATGAATGACACTATCTAACACCTGCCTGGAATAAAGGACACTATCTAACACCTGCCTGGAATGAAGGACATTATCTAACACCTGCCTGGAATAAAGGACACTATCTAACACCTCCCTGGAATATAGGACATTATCTAACACCTGCCTGGAATGCAGAACACTATTTAACACCTGCCTGGAATGCAGAACACTATCTAACACCTGCCTGGAATGTAGGACACTATCTAACATCTGCTTAGAATGAAGGACACTATCTAACACCAGCCTTGAATAAAGGACACTATCTACTATTTAACACCTGCCTGGAATGTAAGACAATATCTAACACCTGGATGGAATGTAGGACACCATCTAACACCTGCCTGGAATAAAGGACACTATCTAACACCTGGATGAAATGTAAGACACTATCTAGCACATGCCTAGAATAAAGAACACTATCTAACACCTGCCTGGAATAAAGGACACAATCTACCACCTGCCTGGAATGAAACACATTATCTAACACCTGCCTGGAATAAAGGACACTATCTAACAACACCTGCCTGGAATATAGGACACTATCTAACACCTCCTTGGAATAAAGGACACTATCTAACACGAGCCTTGAATAAAGGACACTATCTACTATCTAACACCTGCCTGGAATGTAAGACATTATCTAACATCTAGATGGAATGTAAGACACTATCTAACACCTGCCTGGAATGCTGAACACTATCTAGCATTTCCCTGGAATGTAAGCCACTATCTAACACCTGCCTGGAATGTAAGACACTATCTAACACCTGGATGGAATGTAAGACACTATCTAACACCTGCTTGGAATGAAAGACACTATCTAACACCAGCCTTGAATAAAGGACAGTATCTACTATCTAACACCTGCCTGGAATGTAAGACGCTATCTAACACCAGGATGGAATGTAAGACACCATCTACACCTAACACCTGCCTGGAATGAAGGACACTATCTAACACCTGGATGGAATGTAAGAAACTATCTAACACCTGCCTGGAATGCAGGTCATTATCTAACACCTGCCTAGAAAAAGTACACTATCTAACACCTGCCTGGAATGAATGACACTATCTAACACCTGCCTGGAATAGAGGACACTATCTAACACCTGCCTGGAATAAAGGACACTATCTCACACCTGCCTGGAATAGAGGACACTATCTAACACCTCCCTGGAATAAAGGGCACTATCTAACACCTCCTTGGAATAAAGGACACTATCTAACATCTGCTTAGAATGAAGGACACTATCTAACACCAGCCTTGAATAAAGGACACTATCTACTATTTAACACCTGCCTGGAATGTAAGACAATATCTAACACCTGGATGGAATGTAAGACGCTATCTAACACCTGCCTGGAATGAAGGACACTATCTAACACATGGATGGAATGTAAGACACTATTTAACACCTGCCTGGAATGCTTGACACTATATAACTCCTGCCTGGTACAAAAGACACTATCTAACACCTGCCTGGAATGCAAGGCACTGTCTAACACCTGCCTGGAATAAAGGACACTATCTAACACCTGGATGGAATGTAAGACACTATCTAACACCATAATGGAATGTAAGGCACTATCTAACACCTGGATGGAATGTAGACTCTATAAAACACCTGCCTGGAATGCGGGACACTATCTAACACCTGCCTTGAATGCTGGACACTATCTAACACCTGCCTGGAATGCTGGACACTATCTAACACCTGCCTGGAATGCTGGACACTATCTAACACCTGCCTGGAATGCTGGACACTATCTAACACCTGGCTGGAATGCTGGACACTATCTAACACCTGGCTGGAATGCTGGACACTACTATCTGGACAATCTAACACCTGGCTGGAATGCTGGACACTATCTAACACCTGGCTGGAATGCTGGACACTATCTAACACCTGGCTGGAATGCTGGACACTATCTAACACCTGGCCTGGAATGCTGGACACTATCTAACACATCTAACACCTGGCTGGAATGCTGGACACTATCTAACACCTGGCTGGAACAGCTGGAATGCTGGACACTATCTAACACCTGGCTGGAATGCTGGACACTATCTAACACCTGGCTGGAATGCTGGACACTATCTAACACCTGCCTGGAATGCTGGACACTATCTAACACCTGGCTGGAATGCTGGACACTATCTAACACCTGGCTGGAATGCTGGACACTATCTAACACCTGGCTGGAATGCTGGACACTATCTAACACCTGCCTTGAATGCTGGACACGCTGGAGTGTATGTCGCAGTTGCAGGAGGTTTTGTTGTAAGCCGTTCCTTGTGCACACGGACGCACGATCCATTTGTAGTGGACATACTGCAGGTACACGTGCTTGTTAGCTGGGTGGGCCTTTTTCTGGTAGCAAGGGTCTGAAGTGCAAGTATAAAACATTTAAGTGTACCCTCATCATCGGTAAAGGGTATGGCGAGTCCATCTTTCATCCTCAATTAAACCTAAATTGGCACAGGAAATGAGTAGCACAGGGTGGCTTACCCGCCACACAGGACAATGGTATGTTACCCACCACACAGGACAATGGTATGTTACCCACCACACAGGACAATGGTATGTTACCCACCACACAGGACAATGGTATGTTATCCACCACACAGGACAATGGTATGTTACCCACCACACAAGACAATGATATGTTATCCACCACACAGGACAATGGTACGTTACCCACCACACAGGACAATGGTATGTTACCCACCACACAGGACGGTGGTATGTAACCCGCTACACAGGACAATGGTATGTTACCAACCACACAGGACAATGATATGTTACCCACCACATAGGACAGTGGTATGTTACCAACTACACAGGACAATGAAATGTTACCCACTACACAGGACGATGTTATGTTACCCGCTACACAGGACAATGATATGTTACCCACCACACACAGGACAATGTTATGTTACCCACTACACAGGACAATGTTATGTTACCCATCATACAGGACAATGTTATGTTACCCATCATACAGGACAATAATATGTTACCCACCACACACAAGACAATGGTATGTTACCCACCACACAAGACAATGGTATGTTACCCACCACACAGGATAATGAAATGCTACCCACCACACAGGACAATGCTATGTTACCCACCACACAGGACAATCAAATGTTACCCACCACACAGGACAATGGTATATTATCCACCACACAGGAAAATCAAATGATACCCACCACACAGGACAATAGTATGTTACCCACCACACAGTACAATGTTATGTTACCCACCACACAGGACAATGGTATGCTACCCACCACATAGGACAATCAAATGTTACCCACCACACAGGACAATCAAATGTTACCCACCACACAGGACAATGGTATGTTACCCACCACACAGGACAATGGTATGTTACCCACCACACAGGACAATGGTATGTTACCAAGCACAGAGGACAATGGTATGTTATCCACGACACAGGACAATGGTATGTTACCAACCACACAGGACAATCAAATGTAACCCCCAACTTAGGATAATGGTATGTTACCAACTACACAGGACAATCAAATGTTACCCACCACACAGGACGATGTTATGTTACCCACCACACAGGACAATGGTATATTATCCACCACACAGGACAATCAAATGTTACTCACCACACAGGACAATGTTATGTTACCCACCACACAGTACAATGTTACGTTACCCACCACACAGGACAATGGTATGTTACCCACCACACAGGACAATGGTATGTTACCCACCACACAGGACAATAAAATGTTACCCACCACACAGGACAATGGTATGTTACCCACCACACAGGACAGTGGTATGTTACCCACGACACAGGACAATGGTATGTTACCAAGCACAGAGGACAATGGTATGTTATCCACGACACAGGACAATGGTATGTTACCAACCACACAGGACAATCAAATGTTACCCACCACTTAAGATAATGGTATGTTACCCACCACACAGGATAATGAAATGCTACCCACCACACAGGACTGTGCTATGTTATGCACCACACAAGACAATGGTATGTTACCCACCAGCCAGGACAATGGTATGTTACCCACCACACAGGACAATGATATGTTACCCACCACACACACAGGACAATGGTATGTTACCCACCACACAGGACAATGGTATGTTACCTACCACACAGGACAATGGTATGTTACCCACCACACAGAACAATGGGACTTACCCACCACATAGGACAATGGGACTTACCCACCACATAGGACAATGGGACTTACCCATCACATAGGGCAATGGGACTTATCCACCACACAGGACAATGGGACTTACCCATCACACAGGACAGTGGGACTTACCCATCACACACAACAGTGGGACTTACCCATCACACAGGACAATGGGACTTACCCATCACACAGGACAATGGACTTACCCACCACACAGAACAATAGCACTTACCCACCACACAGAACAATAGGACTTACCCACCACACAGGACAATAGGACTTACCCATCACACAGGACAATGGCACTTACCCACCACACAGGACAATAGGACTTACCCACCACACAGAACAATAGGACTTACCCACCACACAGGACAATAGGTCTTACCCACAACAAAGGAGAAAGAGACTTACCGGCCACACATGTGCAGGTTTTGGGATTGTAGATCTGCCAGAATGCGCAGAGCTTCATTACCCATTTCCTATTAACGTACAGCTTGTAGCCCCTGGGGTTTCTCGGGTCGTGCTCCTTGTTGTAACAAGGGTCCGGTACACACGTGCATGTGTGAGGGTCATACATCTCTCCGACTGGACAAGTCTTGAATAGCCAATTCCCCGAGGTGAGCACCTTGTAGCCGTAGGGGTTGTCTGGGTCTGACGCCATGAACTCACATGGGTCTGTCAAACACGCAGCAGATATACAGATGATATCACATGGGTCTGTCAAAAACACTAGATATACAGGTGACATTACATTGGTCTGTCAAAAACATAGTAGATATACAGATGATATCACATGGGTCTGTCAACAACACAGTAGATATACAGGTGATATCATATTGGTCTGTTAACCACACAGTAGATATACAGGTGATATCATATGGGCCTGTTAACCATACATTAGATATACAGATGATATTCATGGGTCTGTCAACCACACAGCAGATATACAGATGATATCATATGGGTCTGTTAACCACACAGTAGATATACAGGTGATATCACATGGGTCTGTCAACCACACATCAGTTAAACAGATGATATCACATGGGTCTGTCAACCACACAGTAGATATACAGATGTTACCACATGGGATGCTAACCACACAGTAGATATTCAGATGATATCATATGGGTCTGTTAACCACACAGTAGATATACAAATGATATCACATGAGTCTGTTAACCACACAGTAGATATACAGATGATATCACATGGGTCTGTCAACCATACAGCAGATATACAGATGTTATCACATTGGTCTGTTAACAACACAGTAGATATACAGATGATATCACATGCGTCTGTCAACCATTAAGCAGATATACAGGTGTATTCACATGGGATGTTAACCACACAGTAAATATACAGATGATATCACATGGAGCTATGGGGCATGAGCCTGATATCCATGCATACAGCACCGGCATGACTGATTACAGGTAAGAACAATAACTTTACTGACTCTTTTAAGTATTATATTTGGATATTTAGCTGTTGAATTTAGTACTGTACACGACTGACATGTATATCATGTACTCACCTGGTTTTACTGAGTATTGTTTTCAACACAAAAATACTGAATTATTGTCTTGTGTAGTATATACTATTTATCCCACTGGCTGTACTGACAGTATGACTAATGGCGTTAGTGTTTTAATACTGTACGCTGTTGACGCAGCAGTTGCACTGGTTGTTGGTTTTATCACTGTATAATGTACTCACCTGATTGTGTTGTATATTGTATTGAGTGCTGTATTCTGTATACTCACCTGGCTGTTCGCCTGAAACATAAGAGGGAAGAACAATCCTGGTAGCGTTTTATACAAGAGACTTGTCAGTGTTCTTTTTTAAGTGTGTGTGAGATGCACCGTTATAGCATGTCAGGAACTTGTCAGTGATATGGCAGTAGAATGTCACTGATATTTAAGTAATGTCAAGGTAATATGGAGAATGGCAGTCAAATATCAGTAATAAGTCAGTAGCATGTTAATAGTATGTATGTAATATCACCGTAATATGTAGAATGACAGTCAAACATCAGTAATACGTCAGTAGCATGTTAGTAATATGTATGTAATATCACCGTAATATGTAGAATGACAGTCAAACATCAGTAATAAGTCAGTAGCATGTTAGTAATATATATGTAATATCACCGTAATATGTAGAATGATAGTCAAATATCAGTAATAAGTCAGTCGCATGTTAGTAATATGTATGTAATATCACCGTAATATGTAGAATGACAGTCAAACATCAGTAATAAGTCAGTAGCATGTTAGTAATATGTATGTAATATCACCGTAATATGTAGAATGACAGTCAAATATCAGTAATAAGTCAGTTGCATGTTAGTAATATATACGTAATATCAAGGTAATAGGTAGAATGACAGTCAAATATCAGTAATTTGTCAGTACCATGTTAGTAATATGTATGTAATATCACCGTAATATGTAGAATGACAGTCAAATATCAGTAATAAGTCAGTAGCATGTTAGTAATATGTATGTAATATCACCGTAATATGTAGAATGACAGTCAAACATCAGTAATACGTCAGTAGCATGTTAGTAATATGTATGTAATATCACCGTAATATGTAGAATGACAGTCAAACATCAGTAATAAGTCAGTAGCATGTTAGTAATATGTATGTAACATCACCGTAATATGTAGTATGTTAGTAATAATGACAGTCAAACATCAGTAATAAGTCAGTTGCATGTTAGTACTATTATGTAATATATTAATATGTAGAATGTATCATAATGAAAGTCAGTAGCATGTTAGAAATATGTATGTAATATCACCGTAATATGTAGAATGACAGTCAAATAGATCAGTGACACCACGGTAATCAGTAGAATGTTAGTCCACAAATATATGGACAGTCAGTAGCATGTTAGTAACACATGTACATCACCATATGTAGAATGATGGATCAATACATCACAGAATGAAGTCATCAGTACAGTAATATCGCCATATAGAATGTACAGACCACATGTCAGAACCACACAGACAAAGATACACCAACATGCAGTAGAACACACACAGTAGCACACATGATATGCAAATATCACACATGTAGAATGACACACACACACACATAGAAATGACAGCCCCAACATCAGTAATATGACACAGTATAATGTTACAATATGAATGACACACAAACATGCATGCATATAGAAAATATATATGGACAAACAGTAATAGTAGCATGACAGACACACACAAGAATGACATACACACAAACACAATATGTAGAATGACACACAAATACACACAGTAGCAAAATAATATATGTTAGACAATGTAGTGAATGACACAATATCGACACCACATGTAGAATAGACCAAGAATGACACAAATAAGTAGCACATGTACATGAATTAATACAGCACATATAATATGTATGCACCGCACATGTAGAATGGACAAGTCAAGACACAACAGCATAATAAACATGTGAAGATCAGCACAAATAGACACCAAAATATGTATGGACAATCATACGGACACACAATATGTGGACACACTGGATATGTAGGAATGACATCAGGCATATGCACAACTGCACATGTAGAATCGACAGTAACACAGTAGCAGTAAATAGTAACCGTACATATGTAGAACGACAGTCAACATCAGCAATGTCAGCGGCCAGTTAGCACACATGTATGTGTACCATCACTGCACATGTAGGAATGACAGTCAACATCATAACAATCAGTATACCAGGCATTATGTATGCACATCACCGTAATTAGAATGACAGCCAACATCAGCAATGTCAGCAGCAATGTTAGCAAGCACATGTATGCACATCAAATCACATGTAGAATCGATAGCCAACATCAGCACACGTCAGCAGCATGTTAGCACACATATGTAACATCACCGTAATTGTAGAAATGACAGTCAACATCAGTGCAATAGTCAGTAGCATGTTAGTACATGCATGTAATAACATCACTGCACATGTAGAAATCGATAGTCAACATCAGTAATATTGTCAGTAGCATGTTAGTAACATATATGCAATATCACTGCACATGCAGAAATCGACAAGACACACACAGAGAGACAAGTCAGCAGACAAGAAGCTATATGTATTAATAACATGCAGAACGACATCAACATCAGTAACATATCAGTAGCATGTTAGTGAATATGCACATCACCCACATGAATCGATAGTCAACATCAGCACATCACATGCATAACATCACCAATATGAATGACAACATCAACATAATCAGCAGCATGTTATAATATACTAACATCAATGCAGAATCGACAGATCAGCATTGAGAATGCAGAACGACAAATCAACATTATATAGGAATCGACAGTCAACATCAGACACATCAGTAGCATGTTAGTAACATATACATCACCAGAATATGGAACGGAGACCACACACACACATGAATGAGGAATGACCACACAGGAAGACACACATGTAGAATGACACAGACCACAGAGGACACACATGGACACAAGACCAGAAGACACAAAATATGAAATGGATAGCCAAGACACACACAAGGAAATGAGACACACCACACATGAATGACAAGACAGAGACAAGAATGGAGGAAATATCACAGAAGAATGACACACACACAAGTAATACACACACACATGAATGATAGCCACACACACATGTGAAATGACACAACACACACACAGAAGAATATATACACACAAAATATGTAGAATGACAGAAATACACACACACAAAGAAAATATGGAAGACACAAATATGGAATGACACACACACAGCCAGTGAAAAGGACACAAATATGTAGAATGAAGGAAATAAAGACAAAATACAAAGAAAAAGGACAAATATGGAATGGAGGAACAACAAGACACAGTAGTATAAAGAAGACAAATATGGAATGGAGGAAATAACACACAAAAACACACAGAATAAAGAAGAGAATATGGAATGACACAAATAAATAAATATGTAAGACACAAATATGGAATGATGGAAGAAGAAATAATAAAATATATGGAAGACAAATATGAAATGGAAGGAAGAATAAAAATATATAATGGACACAGAATATGGAATGGAGGAAGACAGAAGCCAGTAGCATGAAAAGAAAGAAAATATGAAATGGAGGAAATAAATAATAATAATAAAAATATAAAGACACAAAATGAGGAATAAATAGTATAAAAATATGAAGACAATATGTGGAATGGAGGAATAGAATAGTAGTGAATAAAAATATAAAGACAAACAAATATGGAATGGAGGAAGAATAGTATAAAAAGAGACAAATATGGAATGGAGGAAGGACAGAATATAAAGAAGGACAAGGAATATGGAATGGAGGAAGAATAAATAGTAGTGGAATGGAATAAATAAATAGTAGCATGGCAGGACAAAGGAATGGAAGAAGAAACATGCATGTACACATCACACCGTAATATGTAGAAACGATAGTCAAACATCAGTAATAAGTCAGTAGCACGTTAGTAATATGTACGTAACATCACCCAATATGTAGAAATCGATAGTCAAAATCAACATCAGTAATAATGTCAGCAGCATATAAATAACGTATGTGCATATCACCGTAATTACGGTGAATGATAGTCAACATCAGCAACATCAGCTTGAAGCCAGTAACGTGCATGTAACATCACTGCACGTGCATATCGCCGTCAATATGTGGCAATAACGATAGCTATATATCACATCGCAGAATGTCACATCAGTAACGTAATCAGTAGCATGTTAGTAACATGTATGCGTCACCATCATGTAGAATCGATAGTCAAATGATCAGTAATATGTCAGCAGTACGTTAGTAATATGTATGTAATATCACCGTTATATGGTGAACGACAATCAAACATCAGCAACGGTCAGTAGCACGTTAGTAACATGCGCCGTAATAATCGCTGCAATAGGTATGAACGGATAGTCAACATCAGTAATAATCAGCATGTTAGCACATGCACAATCAAATCAACATGTTGAATGACAGCCGCAACATCAGCCGTAAGGTAGGTGGTAACGTTAGTAATATCACCACATGTAGTAATGATAGCCAAACATCAGCAATGTCAGTATACTGTTAGTAACATACGTACATATCGCCGTAATATGGGTGAATGATAGATCAACATCAGTAATAACATAATCAGCAGCAATGTTAGCAACAAGGTAATGTAACACCGTAATCGCACATGTATGAAATCGATAGTCAAACATCAGTACATACCGCAGCATGTTAGCAATATGTAATCAACATGTATGAAATCGACAGCCAACATCAGGCAATCACACGTTAGCACATGTAATGCATCACCAACACGTAGGAATGATAGCCAAATATGACCACATGAACGACAGCCAAGACACACACAAAGAGACACCAAGAATGGACACACACATGAATGACACACACACAGACACACACACACACATGGAAATGAGACACACACAATATGAATGACACACAGAATGGAGACACACACACACACACAAGAAACACACACAGTGCACAAGACACACACAAGACACACACACACAAGGAATGAGACACACAGAATATGAAGACACAAAATATGGAATGGAGGAAGACAGTAATATAACAGCATGAATATGGACACCAAAATATAGCCACACACACACAAGGAATGACATGGAAGACACGAATATGTAGAATGACACACAGCACACACACATGTAGAATGACACACACACAACACACAGAATATGGAAGACAGAATGACACACACACACATG